GGGGTGGTCTGGGGGGTCTGTGGTGGCACTGGGAGGTCACTGGGGATCACTGGGAGGTCACTGGGAGGTTACTGGGGGTCACTGGGGGTCACTGGTGGCAGTGGGGGTCACTGGGGGTCACTGGGAGGTTACTGGGGGTCACTGGGACGTTACTGGTGTCACTGGGAGGTCACTGGTGGCAGTGGGGGTCACTGGTGACCCTGGGGGCGGAGCCCGCGCTGACTCCGCCCCCCAGCCCCGGTGCCCGCCCCGCCCCCCCCGGCTCCGCCTGGACGTCGCCCCCTCCCCCGAGTTCGGGCCGGCCCCGGGACCGAGAGCGGTGCCCGCGGGGGGACGCGTGTTCCTGCAGGTGAGGGGACACGGGGACAGGGGAGGGGACCGTGTTCCTGCAGGTGAGGGGACACGGGGACAGGGGAGGGGACGCGGGGACAGGGACAGGGACCGTGTTCCTGCAGGTGAGGGGACACGGGGACAGGGGAGGGGACACGGGGACAGGGACACGGGGACCGTGTTCCTGCAGGTGAGGGGACACGGGGACAGGGGAGGGGACGCCTGTTCCTGCAGGTGAGGGGACAGAGGGGACACGGCGGGAGGGGGGCGTGTTCCTGCAGGGGAGGGAGGAACGGGGGGTCCCGATCCCCGTGTGCTCCCCTGCGACCCCCCTGTCCCTGTCCCGGCCTCGCTGTCCCTGAGACCCCCGTGTCCCTGTCCCTGTCCCGGTGTCGCTGTCCCCTCTGTGATTCCCCTGTCGCTGTCCCTGTCCGTGTCCCCGCAGGTGTCGCTGTCCCCCCGTGACTCCCCTGTCCCGGTGTCGCTGTCCCCTCTGTGATTCCCCTGTCGCTGTCCCTGTCCGTGTCCCCGCAGGTGTCGCTGTCCCTGTGACCCCCTGTCGCTGTCCCTGTCGCTGTCCCTGTCCCGGTGTCGCTGTCCCTGTGCCCCCCTGTCGCTGTCCCTGTCCGTGTCCCCGCAGGTGTCGCTGTCCCTGAGCCCCCCGTGCCCCTGTCCCTGTCCCGGTGTCGCTGTCCCCGAGACCCCCGTGTCCCTGTCGCTGTCCCCGCAGGTGTCGCTGTCCCGCGCTCCCCCCGGGCTCGGTTTCTCGCTCCGCCGCTGTTTCGTGTCGCCGCGCTCGTCCCCGGGCCCCGCCCGGGGTCCCCCCCCGGTGCCGCGGCCGCTCGTGGTGCTGCGGGGCGGCTGCGGCGCGGGGCGGGCGCGGCGGCGGCCCCGGGGCTCCGTCGTGCTCCCGGCGCGGTTCCCGGAGCCGCTGCAGTTCCTGCACTGCCGCCTGCGCCTCTGCCGCCGCCGCGGCCCCGGCACCGGCACCGGCAGCGGCACCGGCACCGGCACCGGCACCGGCACCCCGCCCGGGCTGCCCACGGTACCGGCCCGGCAGCGGCGGCGGCCCCGGGCA